CCCAACCTTGTGGAGCAGCAGGAGGCTGACCCGCACCACCAGCCAGGGCACCAGGATGTGCCAGTGCTATCTGCTGGCACAGTGTGCCGGACCTGCCTGATCCTCTTTCTCCTCTTGTTTTAGGACAAACAGATGGATTTCTGTTGGGATCCTTGGCAGGTCAGTGTACTGGCCTGTCCCCCTATCTAGCCAGCCTCAGGTGACAGCATCATCCCTCCCTCTGCTGGGCCCAGTCTAGGCACACAGTCCTGCCAGCCTCGGGGGAGGAGGGTCTGTTAAAACAGTGGGGAGGGGGTGGCCTTCTGGGCGTTGGCAGTACCTCCCTGGCTTCACCTGCCCTGTCCCTGCCCACTGCCAGAAGACCTGGGGGACTGGGAGATGGTAATGGTGGGGGACGTCGCTGGCAGTGTGCCCCATTCTGCTCACGCCTCCTCCCCCTTCCTACAGAGGTGCTTCCAGACTACCAACGGCTACCTATCCAGCTCCAGATCCTGTTCCAGCAACTATCACGTGGCAGCCCTGGCCACCTCGTCCATTGTGGGTAGGTCCCAGCTGTCCCTCTCTGGTCTGTGGAGTTTGCAGGGCCCCCATTGAGTTTGCCAGTGACCCATTGAGAGCCAGTGACCCATTGAGAGATGGCTCTCAAGAAAAACCCGTAGGGATGAGGGAGCAGGACAGGGCTGGGGAAGTTGCTCAGCAGAGCCACAGTGTGGGGAGAGTCCAGCGTGTCTCAGTCCGGCCCACGGGAGCTCAGGAGCATGGATCACACCACAGGCATGGATGGCTGGACTTCACCCCCCCACCCGTCAGTCACTGCAGCCTGCCAGCATCTCCGGGTGAGGCAGCTCCCTTCAGTGGCCCGCAGCAGCAACATCTGCAGCAGCTGGGGGTTGGGCACGCAACCACCACAGCCTCTGCTGCAGGCCACCCACAGCACGGCCTTCTGGGCCCCTGCCAGCCTGCCTGCCCCCTCGCCCACAGCTTTGCTCCAGGGACCCAGAGGAGGCCCCCAGCTGTCCTGCCCCCACATCTGCCCGTGCTGTTCCCTCCACCTGAGACACCTTCCCTCCACCCCACCTGCCCTGCAAGGGACGCTTGAAACCCCGCCTCTTCCAGAAACCTTCTCTGATGGCCAAGTGACCCCACCTTGGGGGCATGGTTCCCCCCTCCCTGCTCATCTCCATCTTTCCCATTTTCGGGGCTCTCTAGTTTCCTTTGTGGATACCTCACCTTTCCTAAATATTGCCATTCCTCACATCCTGACGTCAGGGACCCTGGTCACTCCCAGATCTGTGTTCTCAGCCTTGGCTAATGGAGATGCTGAATCATTCCCGATGACTCCCCATCACCTTCCTCATCCAACAGGTCCCCTCCCAAGGACCCCACCCCCTCCTCTCCACCGGCCCAGCCCTTGCCCTGTCTCTTGCTGGGTGCCTGCAATAGCCCCTAATGGTCCCCCTGTCTCTGCCCTTGGCCCCTAATCCCCTCATTAGGATTCTCTTCCTGAACAGTAGGTCTAGCCTGTCACTCTCCTGCTCACTACCCTGCCATGACCCCCCACCGACATTAGAACGTCCGAGCCCTCCGCCTGGCTCTCTCAGACCCCAGGCTGCTCCTGGTCGGCTCCCCTTCTGCCGCCCCAGTCCTGGCGTTGCCCCCATGTCTCGCCCGTTAGTCCTGGCATCACGCCAGACTCTTCTATGCCTCCATCCTCCTCTCATCTCTGAAACAGCCTCCAGTCTTGCCTCCATCTGTCCAAACCCAACCCGCATTCAAAGCCCAACTCCAGGCCACCTCTTCCAGGAAGCCTTCCCTGCCTGCTTCACCCACCCACATATCAGCCTCAGTTGGGTCAGCACCAACCCAGGCACAGAGATGCTCTCTTAGAATGTGTTAATTAATGGATAATGGGACCAGGGGGGACCGGGTGGATTGTAAGTGGTCCTTGAGTGGGTCTCCTTGGGTGGAAGGGTCTGAACTTGACTGGGCATAGGAGCTTGGGAGGGAATGGGGCATGTGGGTTGGTGGGGAGCATCTCTATAAAGTGGGGCCACAGGCTTGGGGAGGGCACGGGGCAAGGAGTGGGTACAAGGCTTCATCTGGGCATGGGGAATAGTTAGGTTCAGGCCACCAGGGGGTGTGAGGCATGAGGTGGGTACAACGCATTTGGTGCTCAGGGGACATTGGATGTGGGGTACAGGCCATTGGGTGGGCCTGAGGTATGGGGTCTGGTGGTTTTGGGGGTGGAGCCTGAGCTGGGCCTTGTGTCAGGGCTGTCACCCAAATGCCCTCAATACCCCAGGGGTGGTGCAGAGCATCAAGGACCACATCACAAAACCCACGGCCATGGCGCGTGGCCGCGTGGCCCACCTCATCGAGTGGAAGGGCTGGAGTGCCCGGCGGTCAGGCTGGGAGCTGTCCCCAGCCGAGGACGAGCACTACTGCTGCCTCCCAGACGAGCTGCGCGAGGCCCGCTTTGCTGCAGGTCAGTGGGGGACAGCGGTGGGACTGGCTGGGACTCTGCAGGGGTGAAGCCGAGACTGTAGGGGACCCGGATCACATGTGGGCATTGTCTGGGCAGGGAAAAATAACGGCATAGGGTGGAAGGGCCTTAAGCAGGCAACCTTGATCAGAGAGGTGGCCATCCTCCTGTCCCGGTGACAGCCTGTTCTGGCACTGAGGCCCTCCCCTACCTTCTGCTGTGTCCCCACTGAGCTGGGTCTCACTGTCTACCCACAGGGGTCGCTGAGCAGTTTGCCATCACAGAGGCCACTCTGAGCGCCTGGTCCTCACTGGACGATGAGGAGCTGCACCCCGAGAACAACCCGCAGGACATCGTCCAGCTCCAGGGTACAGCCTGGCGAGTGCCAGGGTGGGGTGGGCAGAGCAGAGCTGAGGCTGGATGACAGCTCTGCCACCAAATGCAGTGTGACCGCGGGCAAGCCCTTTCCTTCTCTCCACCTTAGTTCCTTCATCTGTAAGGGGAACCAGTGATCCTTGCCCTGCCTGTTGCCAGGGAGGGCCTGAGAGGCATACAGGAGAGGACGCCTACCATGCCAAGTGCTTTCCATGTGTATCTCACTGAATCCTCATGACAGCCCCAGGAAGCAGGTCCTGTTGTCTCCATTTTACAAATAAACTGAGACACCGAGAGGTTCAGAAACTCACCCCAGATGACACAGCCGGAGGCATCAGTGCTGGGATCTGAAACTTACCACCAGGCACAGCCAACCCCCTTTCCAGAACCCTGAGATACCATTGAGGGCTTCAGCGAGCCTGGGTCCTGGGTGAAGCCTATGGCAGCATTATCTCACTTAATTAACTCCCTCTGACCAGGACAGGAGGGGACAGAGGCCCAGGAGGAGACTGGTTGTCCCAGTTCTCAGAGCGCATAGTCTAGGTCCAAAGCCTGCTCCCAGCTACTCCGCTCACTGCCGCAGGGAGGAAACGGGGGCTCAGAGAGGTTCGGTGACTTACCCAAGGTCACACAGCTTGACAGTGACACGGTGGGATTTGGAGACAGGTCTGCTGCCCCTTGCTGTCCCTCACACACTGGGAGAGGGTGAGGAGCAGGATCCAGGACTTCATTTTTCCCCCCACCCCATTGGTTTTCCAGACCTGGAGAGCACCTACCTTCAGGACAGCCTTCTGAGTGGCCCCTCGCAGGATGACAGTCTTCCGGCCTTCTCCTCCCCAGGCCTCTCCCCTGACGTCTGGCCCTCCCCCGATGAGCCCCCCATCACAGCCGCTGACCCACAGCCCCCCAGCCCGGAACAGCAGCATCGGAGGCGACTACTGGGGGCCCCAGGGCCCGAGGGTGGGGCCCCCCTGCCGGGCTCCCCCCACTTGGTGGATAGCGGCTCTGTCTCGGAGGAGGAAGACGAGGTGTTCTATAAGTGAGGTGGGGGCTGCACGGGGCCAGCACCTGCTCACACCACGACCTCACCTGGTGGGCAGCCCAGGCATATCAGGACCCCGGGGTCTCGGGCTGGGCATCTCTTGACCCCTCGGGGCAGGCACAAGTGGGGGTGGCGGGGATGGGGAACCAGCACTTCTTGTGGACCACTCTGTGCCTCCATGGACGTGCCCCAGCAGTGGGAGCCATAACCCCCTCCTTCCTCCTGTACTTGGCTCCAGTGAGCAACTTCCCCTGCAAGGATTGTGCCTCAGGCAGCTCAAGGACCCTCAGCAGACCCAGAGCCACCCGCACCAGGGGAGCTGACAGCCAGGCCTCAGGCAGACAACCATGGAAGGGACTGGGAGACCCACTTGGAGTGGGGCCCGGGGACCCTGCCTTGACCCTGGGCTCAGTCCCTCCGCCACTCCCTCTGTGCACTGCCCCCATCAAAGGTCGGGCAGCCACGTCTGGTAGCAAAGCATCTGCTGCTCCCCAGCTCTCTTCATGAGGATGTCTGTCTCTCTGGAGTGTCTGTCTGTCCCTCACTCTCTGAACCTACTTCCTTGTGCCCCCACTCCCCACCCCAGGGAGCCTGCTCTCCCTCTTTTACTCCCCCACGCCCTCAAGTTTCTCTGAAGACATTAAAGTGCTGGATTCACCCTGGATGAACTTGTCCTGGTCTCTGCTGGGGAAGGCGTGACCTTGGGCCCCTGGGCAGGGAGTCTAGAGGAATTTAGGGCAGGACACTACCCCTCAACACACATACAGCTGGTTGTCCTGGGGCCACCCAGATGTGAGATGCCCCGTGGAGGATGCCCAAGGTTCTGTGGACTCCCCAAGGAGCTGGGGACCCCACTATATATGCTGGGGCTCAGCCAAGGAGGAGACTAGGGCTAGAGTGAAGGTAACCGGGCTACAGGGTCCTGCTTATACATGAGGACCCTCTCTCCCCGACATTTCCCTGCCAGGAAGTGGGGCATGAGGAGGAAAGCAAGGACCAGGCCTGCAACGCCCATGTGGCCACCAGCAGCCCCCAAGAGCTCACTCTGGGCCAGCACAGGTAAGGCGTGAAGGTGCCAAGTCAACACTGTTGGAGCTGAGATGAGGGATGAACAGCAGGTCTGGAGATCAGCTTTATTTTTCTCAAGAGCCCCTGGTTGGGAATCAGACAACCCCTAGAGGGCATCTGTGCCAGCCCTTGGTGACAGCATACGCCAATCTCTTCATTTATGAATGTGACAAACCTTCACTGAGCACCTGCTGTGTAACGGTTTTCTGCTGTCTCGCACTCTGAGCTCTGTCCAGGGTGGGATTTGCCCCTCAAGGCAGTAGCCATTGTCCCACCCAGCATGGGACGTAGTTGAACACGGGGCTCTCTTCAGGGCTAGGTTAGTGCTGTCTGCTCTGCCAAGCAGTTGAGCTGCACTGGAGGGGACGGGTATGTGTGATGGGGGGGGAAGGGGCAGGGTCTGTGCCCACCCTCAGTCACCAGGGCAGCTGAGGTGCCCTGTCTCATCTTGCCGGACTGGCTCACTTTGGGGCTGGCGGATTTGTCAGGTTGGAAATTGCTTTCTCCAACTAGAACAGAGAAAAAGGGGTTTTGCAGAGAGGTAGAGGTTGAGAGTGAGGGCTGCAGCATCGCTTGAATCCCCTAATTGTCGATTCTGGGGTGAGTGTTAGAGCCAGTACCTCCCCACTGCACAGATGGGACCCCTGAGGCCCAAAGACTGACAGGCTGGCTACAGGCCACAAAACGTCATAGGGATAGCCAGGCCCAGTGGCCAGTCTGGGCCAGGAAGTGGGGCTTATCAGAATCCTATGAGGCCCCAACTTCGGATGGGAGGATGTCGGTGCCCCCACCCCAGCCTGCTCGGGCGTGGCTCCTCTGCTTTGCTCCACCCCCGGGACCCTGGTACCTCCACCCAGGACACGAAGCCCACGGCTCTGCCCCGCGACGTCACAAAGAGCGACTGAAGGTTCAACAGCTCAAAGAGGTTGTGTGCCTGGAGGGGGCGTTGTTGGAAAAGGCTGGAGGGTAGGGGCTGCCCACCCCACTCCTCTGGCCCACTCTCCCAACTCCGTGCCAGGGAGGAGGGCTGGGGCTGAGGGTGGGTGGGAGACCAGGGACCCGGCCTGCAATGTCCAATGTGACCACTAGGGGTCCCCAGAGTCCATGCAAGGGGCCAGGCAGGTCCTCGGGTGGAATAGACTTGTCATCCAGCATTGTCCAGTGGCACAGAGGGCTTAGGGCACCTGGGCCCCCAGCCTGCTTCAGCCCCTCCCACACTCCCTGTGCCAGACACTGTCCTGAGTCATTAAGTAATTTGCCCAAGATCACAGGGAGAGTGTGGTGGACCTGAAATTGAAAGCCACGTGCGCCTTGATGCAGAACTTTTAACCACTGGCTCTCTCCACCCAGAGGCTTCTGTTTCCCAAGCCCTCCCACTTCCCTGGTCTCTCTGTATCACCCCAACAACCCTGGCAGTGAGGGGCAGACAGGGCAGGAACTGCCACGCCCACTCTGCTGGTGAGGAAACAGACCCAGCAGGAGCAGAAAGCAGGGGGAGAAGCTGGAGCCCGACTCTCCCCATCGGGCTCTTCCCCTCTACCCTGGGATCCTTGTCTGCTGGAATTCCCAAATTCTTCCCATTACCTGGTGCAGAGAGGTCTCTGGGGACAGCTTCAGGGTCACTGGCTCCGTGGGGCAGCCCCCAGCCAAGATGTCCTGGAGACACCGCTGGGGAAGAGGGGAGGGTCACTTCTCCCACAGGAGATCAGCTGGCCCCTCCCCTCACAACCCTGCTGCCCCCCACCCCCACATACTAACACCCTTCACAAGTACTTACCTGGTGTCCTGGAGCCCAGGAAGATGGCTCAGCCTGAAGGGCCTGCACCAACTGGGCCCTTCGCACAATGCCCACCAGGATCTGAGACTCTGGCAAGTGGAGAGGGAGAGAGAGAGGTGCATTACGAACTCACATTTACTGAGCACCTACTGTTTTCCAAGAATGATCCTGGGCATTCTCATGTCTCAGGAACCTTACAGCAGCTTATGGGTCTATTATAACTATTATCGCCCATTTTACTGAATAGAAACCGAGGCTCAGAGGCACAGAGAGGCTAATTGTCTTGCCCAAGTTCACTCAGCTTCCGGTGTGGAGGTGTCGTATTGGAGGGTGGCTGGGTAAGGCTGCCAGGGGGCCAGGAGGGAGCCTGACCACCAGTGAGATTCCCCACAGTGCAGGGATTTGAGGCAGGAATAAGCTGGGACACCTGCATGATGTCTGTGTGTCAGGACTGGGCTTTCTCCTTCGTTTCCTCTCAGGAGGTTTTACATCTGGCTCAGCCTAATGAAGGCGTGAATCCAGAGGCCATCATGTTCTGAGGTCCTACTGTGTGCCTGGGGCTTGGCAAGCCTTACTCTTGCCCTGGGGTGTCACTGTTGTTCAGTTTTAAGGGGGCAGCTTGGCATTTTTTTTTTTTTTTTAAAGATGACCGGTAAGGGGATCTTGACCCTTGGCTTGGTGTTGTCAGCACCACGCTCAGCCAGTGAGCAAACCGGCCATCCCTATATGGGATCCGAACCCGTGGCCCTGGCGTTATCAGCACCGCACTCTCCCGAGTGAGCCACGGGCCGGCCCGGCATTTTTGATTTCTGTTTAGTAAGACAAAAATTTGACATCCCCCCCTTTTAAATAAACAATTGAAGCTATTTCTTGGGTGAGCAGTAGGATCCCTCAGCTGGACCTGTGCCAGTTGGGAACTCTGCCCCCTGTGGCTCTAAGCGTAGAAGAGGACTTTGAGGCCAATTCTTTCCCTGTTCCAGGAAGTGAAGCCTCCGGCGGGGTCATCCATATGCAAACATTTTTTAATGTGATATTTGGCATGTTCTGTAGCATAATGCTCTAGGTGTACCCATTAGGGTGGGGAGAAGGGCCTGGCATTTGGGGTGAGAATCTCTGCAACTATATATTACATTGCTCCCTGTTTTCCAGGTGAGGAAACTGCAGTTCATAGAGCTTGAGTGGTTAACTCAGCTCTTCAGCTCATAAGTGGCTTTATCCCCCTCGAGGCTGGTATAGGGGTGACCCATATGGTTATGCAGGTTGCTCACTGCACAAGGTGCCTGCCCAAAGAGCAGTGCGGACCAAAATCCAGTGGTGCTGTGCTCACCAAGTGTGCACCTTGTCTCATTTGCACAGAGGGGACACGTGGGCTGACAGTAGCCCTGAGGGGGCAGGGCTAGCCCCCTGGCTTATCTTCTCCACTCAAATACTGTTCTTGTCCTAACAGGAAATGTTGCTGTAGTTAGATCCGTCCCCAAGATTTAGCTTACATGTCTTTCAACAAAGGCCACCATTCATTTGTCTTTAAAAAGATGTTTTTCTCACAGAAACAGGGATTGGGGGAGGAGACTCAGGTGGGGAATGCTTGAAGGGAAGCCTGAGGCAGAAGCTTCTGGAAGACCCTAGTAGTGTCCTCATCTTCTCCCAACTTTCCAAGCACACCAGTCCTGGTTCCTAGAATCCCAAGAACTGTTCATGGAGTACCTTACAAGCACCCTCTCATCTTTGATTTAGACATGTCATCACTCCAAGGTAGGGTGGTTATTTCTACTTTGCTGATGAGAAAACAGGCTCAGAGAGGTGAGGTGACTTGCCCAAGGTCACACAGCTGCTAACTCGCAGAGGCCGGATTCAGATTTGGGTCTGCCTGGTAGGTCCAATGCCCTGCTTACCCTTTTCTGGGCCTGACCCTCCAGCCTCCTAAAGGAAGGAAGAGGGAACCCCCCCAACACACACAACATCTTCCTCCCTCCTGCTGGGCACCTGTGCTCTCCACCAGGGGGTACTCGGCCACATCTGCAGAGGTCACAACCTTGACCACCTCCTCCAGGGGCATGTCCTTGGCCAGCGTGGTGACAGCACAGTTCATGAAGTGCTCTACAATCACACGGTGGGAGCTGTGGACAGAGGGATGCTCCCATCAGGTCCTGGAGTGGGGGGATATGAGACCCCAGGATGAGGCACCTGGGGGACCTCTGCTGGAACAAGGACCCATGTTCTCGAGGGTGGGCAGGGGTTGAGAGGTTCCTGGAATAAGCAAGCCCTAGAATCCCATGGTGGGAAGGAATCTGGGGACCATATCGCTGATAGCCCAGTTCTGAATCCCCAGTCCCCTGGACCCCTGTCTCCCGCAGACCAGCTCCACTTCGGTCTGTTTTTTCTACCAGCCTTCCTTAGAGAATTTCATTTGAAGAAAAGTTATATGGCAAAAACAAACAAACGAAAACTCGTTTGGAAGTTTGAAAACCACTAGAGGTACCACTCTCATTTTACAGATGGGGAAACTGAGGTTTGGAGCAAGGCAGCAGCTTGCACAGGTTTGGAGCTAGGCCTTGGACCCGGGAACTCTCAGAGCCTCTTAGCCCTGCTTCTCTGGGGACAGATGTTGCTCTGGTCCTATCTGGTCAAGTGAGGACCTCAAAGCCTGTTTCCATTCTAATTCCACCTCCGGCTCCCAAAATCCCAGCAAGGACAGAAGAGCGGGAGCGGGGAGAGGGGAGGGGACCTCCCAGACTTGGTGCTGACTCCGTGTGTGACTTGGAGCAAGACACTGCACCTCTCTGAGCTCCAGTTTCCTCATCTAGCAAATAGGATGTCATCTGTCCTGTTGAGAAGATGGACTGATGGCTAGCAAGACATTGAGGCCATGGGAGGCCAAGGACTTGCTCAAGGTCATGCAGAGTGCTGGGGAGAGTGGAGACCGGAAGGCAGCTGCGTGTCAGCCCTTCCCATCCCCCGTGTCCAAGATCAGCTGCCGTGGCTTTTCTTTGGGGGGGACCCTCCACCCCTAGCCCACCTCGGACACCATCACCCCCTTCAGCCAGCCTGCTCACCCAATGTTGCGGCCACGAATCCACGGCAGGTATGGCAGCTTCCTGACAATGATGGTGCCATCATAGAAGGAGGGCTGGCAGCTCTGGGTAATGGCGTTGGCTGCTAGCACTGCCATCAGCACGGGCAGTGCGTGCACGATCTGGCCAGTCAGCTCGAAGACCAGCAGTGCCGTGGAGATGCTGTGGGTCACTGCCCCTGAAAAGGCCGCAGCCCCTGTGGGGACAGAGCTGGGGTGGGGCAGCTCAGGCCAGCCTCACACAGAGGGCAAGGCTGGCATGGCTATGGCCAGGGGCTAGGGTGGCATTGTCCACAGGATCCATGCTGGCCACTGGTGGAAGTGCTCCAGTGCCTTGGCTTGGTGAGAAGAGAGGGAAAGGGGGACTGGGGGGATCAGGGACAAGCCAGGAGCTAAGAGAGAGTGATGGGGGCTCAGGGGCTGGTGTGACTCAGGGAGGGGACAGGCCTGCATGAAGGGTGGGGGCTCATTGGGGCGCTCAGTGACCACTCCATGCCCTATAGAACCACTCACCTGCCAGGGCGTACCCCCCAGGCATGATGGGGTTGGTGACTCCTCCAGCCACGATGCCCTCAGGGAAGGCGACAGAGATGGCCTCCCCTAAGAGGCGCCCGATGGCAGCCCCTGGCCACAGATTTGGGGTGAGGGGGGGGGAGCCAAGCTGACCCAGCCCCCATAGCCCTCTATGCCTGGGGACCGTCCTCAGTACCACCCTGGGGAGGAAGGGGTGAACCAGGAGCTATGGCCCTGCCCCAGTAACCCTGAACCTCTCAGACCCTCAGGACCCCAGACTCACCATAGATGAACATGGGCAGGAAGCACCCAGAAGGTATGGGGATGGTGGTGGCCAGAATCAGCATCCAGAACTGTGTGGTGGGAACCCAGAGGGCAGAGGTTAGAGGCAACCAGACAAGACAGGGGTGGGACAGGAGGCAGGGGAGATTCCTATAGAGAAAGTGGGTGCCGGGGCAGCTGCCCGCCACAGCTCCTGGACTTAGGGAAGGCACTGAGCAGGGGAAGAAAGTGCACCCTGCTAAGGCGCCCACTACGTGCCAGGTGCTTTCCTTCCCTCTCAGCCTTCCCCTTGTGGTGGAAACAGTAACTCCCCAGCCCCCCTTTTTTTCTTTTGCAGCTGGCCCATACAGGGGTGGAACCCTGGACTTGGTGTTATCAGCACCACACTAACCAACTGAGCTAACCAGCCAGCCCCTACCCCAATTTAAAGATGAGAAGATTGAGGCTCAGGGAGCTGCAGAGACTTGCAGGACCCCACAGCGGATAGGAGTCAGACCAGGGAGTCTGGGCAGAAGTTAGGGTACCCACCTTCATCACCAGGAAGAAGGCAAGGATCCCAAGGACAGTGAACCGTGGGTGGTGCCATTCGAACCACAGGTTCTGGGGGTCGGGCTCAGTGGGCCAGGGCGGGGACGAGTTCCAGGTCATCAGCGCCCATGAGTTGTTGTCAAACAGTGTTTCCAGGTGCTGCTCCATGGACAGCTGGAGCCGGACGCCAGGGGGATTCTGCATGAGGGGGCTGAGCAGCAGTCCCCAGCCACCCCCTGCATGCCTGACCCTGCCCCAGTCCCTATGCTGCCACTTCCCAGCTGGGGGACCTGGGCCTGGCTCTGACCTCCCTGGGCTGCACTTTGCTCATCTGTAAAATGACACAGGCATCTCCCTTACAGGGTGTTGTGGGGATGAAATGAGATGACTTGCACAAGGTGGGCAGCCAGTGGTGGCTCCCCCCCTACCACCCCAGCTCAGCACCCCTTACCCGAGACGCCATGAAGCGGCCCACACCAGGGGGGTAGGTGATGGAGGCGAGAACCAAGGCTGCCAGGGCGGAGTACAGAGGCTTGCTGTTGGAGGGGGGTAAGCTCCAGTGCTGGTGCTGCTCCTTTCCCCCACCCCAGAGGAAGGACGGGAGTGGGGGACACGGGCCAGGTCCCCTCCAGAGGAAGGAACATGGCGGGGGGTGGTCAGCCCCACACTGCTAGGTGTACAAGGTCGGGGGGTGCTGACAGGAGAGTTTGGGACAGAGGCAGGCTGGCAGGAAGGACAGCCGGGCCAAGCCTGGCCAGGGAGGGAAACTACCTGGTGGCCAGCAGCTTGGAGAGGACCCAATTGGTCTTGAGGAAGCCAAGGAAGATTCGCTGACAGAAGAGGTAGGCACAGCTCATGATACCACAGATGGCCCTGGGGGTGAGGGCACATGAGGCCAGAGCCCCTCCCCAGTACCAGGAGCAGCAGTTTGGCCTGCGGGGGTCCCCCCCTCAGGGACCCAAGGCACCCACTCACCCCAACACCACAAAAAAGAAGATCTCTGGCAGGTCAAAGGGGATGTCCACCCTGAAACTGGTCTTGTAGAGGGAGGTGATGGTCTCTGGGAAGGAAAGAAGTGGGGATCTAAAACTGCACCCGACCCCACCCAAACCCAAGTCCCAGAATTAACAGCCGGGGTGGAGGTGACCCCAAATGTCCTTTTCCTGGCATTCAAGGCCCCCACAACCCAGCCCTGCCTCCCTGTCCAGCTTCTTCTCGTGCCCCCCTTCATGCCCACCGGCTCCCTTGTATCCTCCTGGAAAGAGGTGGCAAGAGGCAGGAGGAAGAAGGGGGAGGAGGGAGGGAAGGGAGGAGAGAAGGACTGAGCGGAGCAGGAATGAGAGGAAGCAGGGAGGGAAGGCCAAGTCCAGGAGGAGGGAAGAAGGGGACAGAGACGGGAACAGGGACAATCCCCGCCCAGGTGCCCAGGCAGGGCTCACCCTGCTCGCTGTTGAAGACGGCCAGGAGGCGGAACATGAAGGCCCCGCAGGTGGCAGCGAAGAAGCCCCTCCAGTAGTCCCAGACAGAGAAGTGGGAAGACATGACCTCGATGCTGAACAGGACGCCTGGGGGCGACACTGAGCTCAGGCGGGCCCCCAGCCCCCGCTGCAGGGCCCCAGGGGGCACCTCCTCCCTGACCCCTCCTGTCCTGTTCTCCTGCAGCCTGGACAGACAGACGGGAGGGGAGGGCAGGGCAGGAGCCGGGGGCAGGGAGGACCCCCGCTGCCCAGGGGCCACGTGCAGCCGGCGCAGCCACCGTGGAGGGCCTGCGTGTGCCCTTCTCCTCAGCCACCGGGTAGGGACGGTCGTGATCCCCACGTTACTGATGAGGAAACCAGGCTCAGAGAGGTCAACTCCCCGGCCAGGGGCACACAGCGGAGGCCGGACTTCAAACCCACGTGTTTCTCCGCACCCCACCCACCCCCACCCTGGGGAGGCTGCGCCCGCGCGGGACTGCGGGGAGAACTGGAATTAGCCCCATCGCTCCTGCGGGCCCCTCGGCTGGGCACAGGGGCCAGCGCGTCACTCTGGCCAAGCCACAGGGCGGGGAGGGCCCGGGGAGGGTCTCACCGCTGAAGGGCGCGGCGAAGACCGTGGCCACGCCCACCGCGGCCCCCGCCACCAGCATCTCGTTCTGCTCGCTCTTGTTCTGAGGGGGTCAGAGTCCCGGGCTCAGCGTCGGACCCCTCCCCGCTCTCGTTGCTACCAGGGAAGCCCTCCCTGAGCCCCTGACCTCAGGCTCCCCGATGGTCTTGGTGCGCACGCGGCCCAGGTAGGCAGCCATCATCGCAGACAGGTGCACGAAGGGGCCCTGCGGAGGCGGGGGTGGCACGGGGCACAGGGCACGCGGGGCCCTGCGGGAGCCTGGCCCTTGCTCTTCCTCCTCCTCCCCCTCGGGGGTCCAGGGATCAGGCATCCCTGCCCACCCATACCCTTCTCCACTCCCCAGCCCCCAGGGGGGTCCTGAGGTGGCTTTTGTCACACTCTGGGGACCTGGCCTGCCTCTTCTCCCTGAAGGCAGGGACTGGCCTGTGTCCCTGTGACCCAGCTTCAGTGGGGAGATGGGGGGAAGGGGGGCACTGCAGGGTGCTCTCACGCCTGCCCGTACCACTTTGCCCAGGAAGATGGTGCTGCCGGTGGCCAGGGTGCAGGAGAGGCCCACCACCTTAGCCCCGAAGTTCTTGATATCCAGGTAGTCATCCAAGACCACACCCGACAAGATGGTCTTCAGTTCTGGGATTCCAGAACCTTGGCAGGGGGCGGGCAGGGGCAAGAGAGGGACAATGTCTAGGTTAAAACTCTTCACTACGCTGCACGGTGTCCGAACACTATAACCTTGTCAGAGCCTCATAGACCCTATGGGGTTAGGATGCCTAAGCTCCTTTTGCAGATGAGGAAGCTGAGGGACAGAGAGGGGATGTGAGTTGTCCGTATTCCTCCAGCTGGGCCTGGCAGACCGCTGGGGCGGGATGGGGGAAGCCAGGACAGAACCTCAAGCCACCACTGGACACACTCCTGGAGCTGCCCTCTGCCGGCCTGGAGCTGGACACAGAGCTGAGAGGCCCGAGGGAGCTGTGGCCCCTCCATTAGCCCTTCCCTGGGAATATCATTGGCACCAACCCTGCTGGGGAACCTGCCACCTGCCCTCCCATCACAACCCAGAAGAGTCCTGGGAAAGCAGGTAGAGCCAGCAGTGACCGAGAGTCAAGATCTGGCCTTCTTGCCATGTGACTTTGGCAAGCCACACGACTCTCCTGAGCCTGGCTTCTCCAGCTGTGAGGCGGGGTTGCTGCTTCCTGTGTCCCCCTATCAGAAGCCCTGTGAGATATGAAGAGGTTTTGGCCAGTGGGGACTGGCGTGGTGACTGTGGACTCACCTCCAGAGAACGGCGTGATGCTCTGGGAGAAGCCCGAGGAGAAGGAGATGAGGGCCACAGGGTACACAGTCCAGGAGAGATACCGGAGCAGGTGGCTGTCCCCAATCTCCCGGTACAGCCACTTGTGTGCTGGGGACAGCCAGGCATCAGGAGCCACCCACAGCCTGTGCAGCCCCAAGGGCCAGACACTGTGGTGCCCACTGACTGACCGGGAAGTGGAGGCTCAGAGAGGGGAGGCTCAGGGCGCATCAAAGACGCTTCGGGACATCTCCCCTGCCAGGGCCACACTCCCTCCACCTCAAGGCCTGAGCTGCTGCCTCCTTTCATTTGCCACCCAGTGAGCACCCAGGGCCACCCAGAGGGTGGCAGACCCCCAAGAAGAGGCAGGAGTAGGACCCTGGGTCGTATCCCAGTTTTGCCGCTACCTAGCTGAGAAACCTTGCGCAAGCTACTCAACTTCTCTGAGCCTCTGTTTCCCCATCTGTCAATGGGCTAGTGATGTTACCTCCATCACAGGGTCATTGAAGACTAAATGAGACCTACTGAGACTAAATGAGACAGGGTGTGAAGAGTCTCCAAAGTGTCTTAGACCTCTCCTGCCCCATGCCCCCTCTTCCAGGGAGGCCTCAGGGTGGAGAGCCTGCTTCGGGAAGGGAAAGAAAGCTCTGTGCCTGGTGGTCTAGGCAAGTCCCTCCACCCCGGCCCCAAGGTAACTGAGCTAAGAGCAGGGAGGAGGGGAGGAAAAGGAGCAGGGGTGTCATGAAGTGGTGGGCATGGAGCTCAGATGAGGAAAAACTCTTGGGGACATTCAGGTCTCTCTCCCTCATTGTGCGGATGTGGAGACTGAGGCCCAGAGAGGGGCAGGAACCTGTCCGGGATCACAGAGCAAGTCAGGACCAGACCCAGGCTTCCTCCCCACCTAGAGCCCTTCCCCACCCCTGCCGCACCTGGTGGCCCATCTGGCGACCCATCTGGCATCCCTAAGAGCGTACGCAGAATCCCTTGGTCCAGAGCAGGGCGTGCATGCCAGGGAGGGGTTACCTTGCACCACACGCCCGACGACGAAGTTCATGGCATAGCTGATCAGGGCCATGAGCACCCCGAGGGTCATCAGGAAATACCAGTCCTCGCCCACGTGGAACAGCTTCTGCTTCAGCCACTCCAGGCCACCTGGGGCAGGTGCATCGGGGTCACAGCCATTGGGGGGTGGGGGAGCGTGGAGGCATGAACAGCCCCTTTCCTGGAGGCCTGCTCTGCTCACATTCCAGGCAGGGAGCTCCAGGGCAGGGCAGGGGTCAGATGGTGGAGTCTGGGGTAATCAGGTGTGGGCTCTGCCTCGCACAGGGGCCGAGCTGGATTTGTGGCAGGTGAAGGCACCTGTTGCCCCACTCCTGTCCACCCTCCCCATCCCTGCCCATGGGTGGGGGGAACTTATGGAAGAATGACCAAGGGGGCAGGGGAGCATGGCAGGGGCTGGCAGCCACAACTTTCACTAGTATCTCAGCAGGGCTGGTAGCTTAGAAAGCGTTGCCCCAGGACCTGTGGGGCTGTCCATCCTCTGGGCCCCTGGCCGGCGGACTGCCAGCCCAGCCCTTCACTGGCTGTGGGCACCAGCCCCTGGGGCTGCACTTCGCTGCTTTCTGGGGTCCCTGCCTTCTCTCTCCCTTAGCTAAGGGGACAGCCAAGTCTCAAGGTGAGCAATGTACATGGGGCCCTAAGGAAAGGTGCCAAGCCCATGGCTACCCCAGTCACCTGCTATGGCACCAGCTGTCCTGGTGACTGACCCTTGGGCCCTTCATTGGTGCAAGTGGGTGAGGGTAGAGGCCTGGGTAGAGGGTGGGCACAGTGACTAGGCCTAAGGCTGTATCTTCCAAAAGGCAGAGGGCAGACCCCTGGCACATCGATTCCTAGATAAATGGGCAGACAGACCCGTTCCCTCCCTACCACCTAAGAGCCTCTGGGCAGTGATGTCCTGGGGCAAATGAAAGGAGGAGGAAGGCTCTCAGGCTTTAAAGTCAGGGGAGGGTGGGTCTGGGCAGGGGTGATGTCCTGAGGGGTCTTACATGGGGAGAAAAAGGGGACCTAGTTCTCACCTCGGATGCCTCGACGGACACGGGGACACGGGCCCCATAGCTCCTGCAGAGTCACAGGGTTCCCCGAGGAGCCCTCACGCAGCCCCACCAGCTCCTCCATCAGGTCCCCAATGGAGCGGACAGATGGACAGACGTTTGGTGAGCTGCTCCAATGCCCTTATTCTGCCTCTTGGCCCTTCCAATACTCCACCTCCCAAATAAAAACGAAAGGTCATGTTTTCCTCTGTGAGTGCATGTGAGTATGTGAAGTTAGGAGGAGATGGAGGTCTGCGTGCGCTTTCATCACTTAGGGTCTGTCCCTATGTGCAGGGTGGGGATGGAGGTTCTTAGGTGTCCCCACTGTGTCCAGCAGCATATTGGGCACCGACAGGATCCCCAGCTCTGACCAGAGCTCCCTCCCCTTTCTGTGGCCACCGCTCCCACCCTTCTGGGGTGCTTGGCTGCTTCGACTGCTCAGGGCAGTTTCTTTGCCCAGGGATGTCACTCACTGTGGGGTCCCTGTGGACAGCTCTGATTCCCCATTCCCTTCCCTGAGCACCGTCCTGCCCACCCCACCCTGGTTCAGGCCACAGAGGCAGGAAAACCCCAGTCCCAGAAGGAGACCCCCCAAGGGTAAAGTGAGGTGCTGGCTCCTGCCCCCCACCCTCCTCCTGCCCACCCAAGCCCATGCCCCAGCTGCGCACTCAGCAGCCCTCACCTGTCAGTCCGCCCTGCTGTGGCCCCGGCCAGCCTTCCTCTAACAGAGCCTCTTGTGCTTCCAGCTCCGGTGCACCTGGACAGGTGTGTGCTCCACCAATCAAGGTCCTCCCCCCCTCCCCTTCCCTGGCCTGAGTTTACTATGGCCATTAAGAATGTCCTTGACAAACCAACCAGAACTGCCCAGGCTGGCTGAGACGTGCAGGGCAGAGCTGCCAAGAGGGAGGGGGAGCAGGGGCTTCTCCCCTGACCAGAAATGTGCAGAGGGGGTGCCCACCACCAGCTGCCAGCTCCAGAGCTGCTCCTGGATGATGGGGCCTGGGAGGGGGAAGCTCACACACAGCAGGACAGCACAGCATCATCCGCTGGGGCTGAGGCTCAGGGCTCTGGATTACAGAGCTAGGCACGGGAGGCATTTAAAAAGCAGAGAAGGGGTGGGGAGGAGACAGAGCAGCACAGAAGAAAGCACCTGGGCACAGGTGGGTGGGGGCCTCCCTGAGTGCCAGGCATGATTCTCAGCCCTCCCCAAATTACTGTGAGTGCTCAGGGAAACCCAGTGAGGTGGAGCAGCACTATCCCATTTTAAAGAAATAGCGTTTCAGAGAGGTGAGGCTGCTTGTCCAAGATCACAGAGGCCGACGGGCAGAGCCAGGAATCCCACCACAGTCTGCCTGATGCCAAAACCTGCACACTGTGCAGTCCTGCCTCAACAGTCCGTCTTGAACAGGGGTAGGGAGGTGGCCAGCAAACCGGAGGCCCCTGAGGCCTGGTGAGGAACTTGGATTTGATCCTTGTGCCCAGACCCTCCAGTCTCAGGAAACTGCAACATCCATGGGGCAGCAACTCTGGCCGGGGGCTCCTGGGTAAATGCCACAGACTTTGTCCCACCCCAACAGAGGATAGGAGCATCTGGGGACATGGCAAGGGAACAAGCTCATCTTGCATGCCAGCTACATGCCTGGAGCTTTACATTGAAACTCACCCTGCAGGTCGGAGATACCATCACCATCTTGCAGATGATAAACGGAGGATCAGAGAAATGTAGTCACTTATCCAAGGCCACACAGCAGATTCCTAACCCAGACCTAGACTGTCCAGCTCTTCCCCTACCTGAAGTTCCTGAGGCTTAATCAGGGCAATGGTTTCAGCACAAAGCAGAAGATTTGTATCTGATGTTACTTTTGGATGGTTTGGGCAAGAGATCTGGGAAACTACCTGCCACCCCAGACAAAGCCACCCCTCTGAAAATCATGATGGCCCTTCAATGATTTGTTAAAATCTGGGACCCCGAGTCACCCTCTGTCCCTAGACACCAGATCAAGTCAATTCAAAACAGGAGATGGTATGTGTGTTGTGGGAGGTGGGGGGCGGGGGGGGGGCTTGCGTGGACCCTGATCCAACCTCGCCTTGGCCACCCCATCCTGTCAACTGTGTACAGTAACGGGATAACTGGCTGCCCTGTTGACATCCCAAACCTCAGTCTCTGGTCTTGGACAGCTGCCAACTCTAGTCCCACAGCCGGCATCAGCTGGCCAGCAGTCACCACACGTCCACACCTTCACCCCAGGCCCTGTGAGCACCAGGAAACTGAGAAGAGGGCAGCAAGGGGACACGGAGCCCAGGGCAAATCTTCCCAAAGCCATTGCCCCCACATGCCAGCCCCCAACTTCTCCCTCTTCTGCATCCAGCGCCTGCAGCAGCACAGGTGGCTCAGTAGGTGGAAGAAGGTTTGGAGCCAGGGCAGCTCTGCTACGTCTAACTACTTCACCACTCAGAGCCTCAGTCTCCTCTTCTGTCCAATGAGGAGAGCCTGGGAACAGGGGCCTGTCTCTGCCTCATTCACCACCAAGTCCCCTAGAGCCTAGACCACTGCCTGGCACACAGGAGGTGTTCAATAAATATCTGCTGAGTGATGAGCGGTTTCCAAACACTGGCCTGTGGACTGACTCTGGGGAGCCGATGGGAACAGTCCCCTGGTCTCTTTTTAAGACTCCAAATCAGAATCTTGGGGTGCAGAAGGAAGGGTCTGTGTTTGTTAAAAGCTCCCTGGGGTGATTGGGATTCCATGGTAGATTTGGATTCAAAAGATTGGGTCATCTTTTTTTTCTTTAAAGACGACTGGTAAGGGGATCTTAACCCTTGACTTGGTGTTGTCAGCTCTCCCAAGTGAGAGCTCTCCCAAGCGAGCCACAGGCCAGCCCTAGCTTGGATCATCTTTGAAGCTTCTTCTATCCCCATGATCTGAAGGGAGAGGCATGCCTGGAGACAGAGGAATGGCCGTGATGAAATTTCGAGGTGCCTCGTGGCCACTGAAGCCAGAGGAGCCAGTATTTGTGTGGGTGACGCCTCAGGGATGGAGGAAAGGAGGAGGAGGAATGGTGGGCGGGGGTGGGTAACAGATCTGACATCCAGGAGCAGTGACTCAGGCCCTCAGCACCATGACAGTGTGTCTGCATTTAGCCACTGGCTCCTGTTTCCCTGGCGGGCGTCAGGCTTCTGGGCCCCCCACCCCGCCCCCACCTCTTCCCATCTCACCTCAGTGCAGGCAACCTCCCGGCAGCCCTGCTAGAACCTCCTCGGCCAGAATGGGTAACATGGGGGTAACAGACCCCTCCTGCTCCAGCCTCCACCCTGGCCCCCAGCTGTGCCCTGCCCTGCCCTGCCCCACTTTATGTACCACCAGCACCACTAACATCCCTGTAGACAGAGTCCCCAGGGATAAAGCCCCAGACTGGGTTCCGTGGGAGCCAAATAAAAGAGAAACAGCCCCCACCTTCAGGAACCCCCAATCTAATGGGGAGACAGGCAAACCCCTGCCCTGGGGGAACTGCCAGTTAAATAGGGGAGAGGGGACATAGCAGAGAAGTCACAGAACACAGGAAGACCATGTCACTCTGCCAGGTGCTGGGTGTAGGCAAAGACAGTCAGTGCTGTGGGCACCTGGACGGGGCCCCCTGTGTGGGCTGGAGCAATCAGAGAGGCCTCCATGGGGGAGGAGGAACTTGAGCTAATCTGGGCAGGAAGGAAGGGCAGCGTTTGGAGAGGAGAGCGGAGGCCTCCCACAGCCACCTGCCACTGGCTTCTGCCCCAGCATGGTGTCAGTCCAGGCTCTGCTGAGCAGTGGGTGGGTAGAGAGGAGGCTTCTGGGGTCTTCCAGGCCAGCCTGCCTCCATATGCATGTGTTAAAGTCATCCGGCCTCTGGAAGGGCTTTGGATGAGACACGTTGGCTTTGAATCCCAGCTCTGCCATTTGCACAAGTGAGAGCCCCTCCCCGTCTGTGAGGCTCTGTTTCCCTGTCTATAAAATGGGAATACTTCCTCCTTCCCAACTGTGAGGGGATCAGATGGGGCCATGCTGGGAAGCTCGCAGCCAGGAGCCTGTGCCCAGAAAGCACTCCAGAAGTCAGAGCTAGAATAATTGTCTTCCAGAACTCTCCTTTACCTCTGACTGATGCAGTCCCAGGCATCTCCTCTGAGACGCAGGTCAAGCAGACAGTTGCCAGGAACATAACCTTCTAGATCTTTAAAGACAATTACCAAGGTATCTACTCCCCTCCCCCAAGTCTAGCCCAACTCCCAGCCCTGCCTCAAGCTGCCAGCTTTTTCCTCTTGGGTCCCCTAAATGTTCTGAGAATAGGGGGAGGGGGCAAGCATGAAATCCGGGTCCCCCATGGGAGCTGGCAGGGGGGACAGCTGCACATTTACACCCCCCACCCCAAGGGCTGTGTCAGCCTTTCCTAAGAGATGGGCTGTGCACATTATCTGCCTTGAGGGAAGGAGTCCCTCACATCACACAGCGGTCCAGCAGGGAGAGGGGGCATCCTCCTCCTACCCTGTCCTCAAGGAGCTTGCAATCTGATGGTAGAGGCACAGCCCTTGAAGAAACAGAGTCTGAAGGGGAGACATAGTCCTTAGAGAGCGCCCAGGCTAATGGGGGAGACAGAAGACACAAGAAACACCAAACCCACAAGGTTGGTCCCAGGCAGGTGTGGGGTCCGAGTGGCAAAGGGACAGAATCCACGCCACTCCCGCCCCCACCCCGTGTGCAGAGGCCCCTGGGGCTGCAGTGATCAGCCTGGAATTCGGGGCTGTGAGCTCAGCCTTCCCGGCCTGGCCTGTGTGTGTCGGGCTGTCAGCAGTACCGGCTCACGGGAGAAGGTTTCCAGCCCCCTCCGGGCCACAGAGAGACCTAAATTTAGCTGGTAGACAAGGGGCTGGCCCTGAGCCCAGGGACAGTCAGACCTTATAAAGCGCTGGCAGTCGGGGCCCGGCACGCTCCCCTTGAGGCCTGTGCCCACATCCCTGTCCTGTGCAGCCCCTGCCCGCCCGGCCAGGGCCCGGCGTCCGCCCGTGGATGAGCCACAGGACTTCCTCCACCTTCAGAGCGGAGAGAAGTTTCCACTCCTCCTCCTCCTCCTCATCCTCAGCCTCCTGCGCCCTCCCGGCCCAGGATCCACCCATGGAGAAGACCTTGAGCATGTTTTCCGAGGATTTTGGGAGCTTCATGCGGCCCCACTCGGAGCCCCTGGCCTTCCCAGGCAAGTGCTCCAGGCTCTGAGGGGAGGGGACATGCATAGGAAGGGGACATCCTGTCTGGGGCACCATGGAATATGGTGGGGCTACCAATCAGCCAGGAATAGGTGCTGCACAGCCTGCAGCCACCTGTGGCCACAGAGACAGATGTGGCCGTGGAAACAGGTGGGCCTCCAAGGAATCACTGTGGCCCCAGGGGTCAGATATGGCTCCATCAGCCACACATGGCCTGTAACTGTGACCAGGCCCTAGCTGGAGCCCTGGAGGGCTGGCTGGGTTTGAGGGATGGGAGGCAACCTCCCCACCTCCAGGCCTGGGGAGAGTTGCTGCTACAGACTGGGAGTCACATACACAGCCACCACACCTGCGTTGGGTGAGGCTCTATCCCCACCACGGAAAAAGTGGGCTGTAAGAGTGAGGGGGCGCTTGGGAGCAGCAGCTGAGGGGGAGGTCAGGCCTGGGGGTCCCCCCTTCCCCCCAAGAGAAGCAGCCAGAAGCCCAGGATCTGGCTGCAAGCCCTGCCCTGTGCCCAGCTCACAGCAGCCCTCCCCACAGCCCGTCCCGGGGGTCAGGGCAACGTCAAGACCCTCGGAGATGCCTACGAGTTTGCAGTGGACGTGAGAGACTTCTCACCTGAAGACATCATCGTCACCACCTCCAACAACCACATCGAGGTGCGAGCTGAGAAGGTGAGCCTGGCCCCACGCCACCCCTGGACGCTGGACTCTGCTCCTATACCCCTGCCGAGCCCACACCTGCTCTCAGTGTCCCCTACTCCCACGTCCCATCCTGGGACCCCAGACCCTGACCAGTGTCCCTTCCCCACCCAAACTCCTCCAAGGCAAACTGGAGACCTTGCTCCCTGCAGCTCACCGGCCTCTCTCTACCCCGAGGTTCCCAGATCCTTTCTTTAGGAGCTCAGGGCAGCTGAGGGAGCCTCTGGGGAAGGGAAAGGGATGGGGGGATGTGGGCAGAGGGGGACTTGCGGGAATGGGGCCTGAGAGTGGAAGGTGAGAGATGGGGATGGTGGAGCAAGCACCGCTGCTCTGGCAGCCAGTGGGAATGGGGTAGGTGGGGGCTCACCTGGGCAGCAGGGGGAAAAGATCCCCCTCCTGACACACCTCAAGCCCTCTTCCATTCAGGGGCCAGAGGCCCAGCCCCCATCCTGAGACTCCTGAATTAGGCCCAAGGCTGGGCAGAGGCCCTGCACTTCATGATCACACACACTCCAAACCATACATATACTCCCTCCACCCATGGGTCTCAGGGTCACTGAGCACCCCCAGTCTCCGAGTTTGAGCTCCCAGGAGGCATTGGGGCCTCCACCCTGGACAAGGGGGAGGGTGTGGCCAGGCCTGAGCAGAGATGCTGCCCTGCCCAGGTGGGCTACCGCCACAGCAGCCTCCTCAGAGAAGGAAAGAAAAGCCCCATGGCCCAGCTTCCTCCCCTGAACATGGGAGGCTGAACTCCTGGGAGGCTGAACTCCTGGGAGGCTTAGGCCTGTGGGCACCAGTGGGCAGCACGTGCCAGCCCTGCCACCCCCGACAGTGACTCATCCAGCCCAGACTCCTCTGGACACTATGTGCTGGCTAAGTTGTGGGGGAGGGACGCCAGCCCAGCCCTGGAGGGAGGACACTCAACGTGTCTGGGTATCCAAGAGGCATGGCTGTCCTCTGTGTCATGCCCTCCTGCATTGCTCAGGAGCCCCAGACTCTGAGCCCCTGCTGCAGAGCCTCCTCCGTCTCCAAACCCCTTGCCTCCCCCTTGGAGCTTCTCTGCGCCTGTCCCTGTACAGCTCTTGACCTGTGGCTGCCACCACCCTGGCCAGCCCCTCTGCACCTGAGGGCAGAGCTCCTCAGCACGCGGGGCCCCGGCTGGGATTAAAATGGGGAGAAGAGCAGAACAGGGCTGGGGACAGGCTGCCCTGACCTATCACCCCTTCCCCAGCTGGCGGCCGATGGCACGGTCATGAACACCTTCGCTCACAAGTGCCAGCTGCCTGAGGATGTGGACCCAACATCAGTGACCTCGGCCCTGCGGGAAGACGGCAGCCTCACCATCCGGGCCCGACGTCAGCCACACACAGAGCACGTCCAGCAGACCTTCCGGACGGAGATAAAAATCTGAGGGCCTCCCAGTGCCCCTGCCTTTCCCGCACCCCCCCACCCCACTGGCCTGCCAGCAAAGTCTTCCTACCCTTCCCCAACAACCCCCAGGACATCTCAGCCCAGGTTCCAGCCCCTGACACCCCCCAGACCCCAGGTGGGTCATCCCCCTCAACTAGAGCCCTTCATTCTGTCCAGGCCACAACAGGGACTGCCTTGCCTCACCTGTGGCCCCCAGACTCCAGATATGGGCTCCCTCGATCCTAAATAGAGGGATTGCGGGGGGAGGGAGGTCCCAAAGAACCCACTTTAGGGAAGGGGGAGAGGTGTAGGCAGGGCCCCTGGACAAACAATCTGCAGGGCAGACAGATAGATGGACAAATCCTTTGACCTGTGGAGTCTCTGCAGGGCAGGGGCAGGGGACTGGGGACCCCAATGGCCAAGGAGGGTGGGAGAGGCAGAGGGAAGGTCACAGAGGTGCCTGTCTAAGTGGAACTGCCCGATGGCCCAGGGAGGCCAGGAGACAGCCGTGAAGGTAAACCTCCCCTCCGTCACTCCCAAGCTCCAAACCAGCTGGCAGGCTGCCTGCCCGCCTGTGCCCTGTGCCCCCAGCCAGCCAGCTGTGCCAGGGCAGGGCCACCTTACATCTGTGTAGAGCTGGGGTTTTTCCAATACAGCTGGTTCGTGATAAACTGTGTCAAATTCCTGCTGTTGGTTATTGCCGGGGACTCCAGGTGAGGCTGGGGCGAGGGGTGGGGCAGGTCCTTTTCCTTCCCACCCATGGGCCCAGGCACCCGGGGCTTCTCCCACTGCAGACAGAGTCACCATCAGAGGTAGAGGAGAGAGTGTGGATGGGACTTCGGGGCCTCAGGGTTGGACTCCACCTTCTTGCAACCTTCCCTTCTGGGCAGCCGCCTCCCATTCCTCCTCCTCAGTCTGTGAATCTCCAGGCTTGGTGTGTATGTAACACACGCACACGTGCACGCACACGCACACCATCGCTGTCCTTCACATACTCAGCATTACCAGTGGTTGAGGCCCAATTCAGAGCATTCTAGAATCATATATGCGATCTCCATTCTCATCATTGGGAAGACTGAGTCTCTGAGTCGGGCTCCTGGCTTTGTCACCGAAGGCTGGATCTGAACCCAGGATGTCAGCAGCTGCTCTCAACCCCCCACCTCTGTGCGCAAGAGTATTTCCTCTCTCTCTGCCTCTCTAGGACTGTGCACCTGCCTCACATCTACCTGCTGGGGGATGAGGGGTGGGGAGAATCATAGGAACAGCCCCCAACCCGGTTTTCTCCTGGTCCCCACTCCAGAGTGGGGACTTCCCATCAGTCTTTATCCTGGAGAACCTGGCTGCCCCCAGTGACTCTGGCTCAGTCTCCCACATACAGAAGCAAGGGTGAGGGGCAGGGATGGGTCACAGTTAATTGGGGTCCCCAGGGCAGGACCAGCTTCTACCCTCTGTGCCTCTCGCTCCTGTCATTCTGGGGTTCTCTGGGGCCCTTGGGGTGACTGGGGAGGGGAGCCATGGGAGAGTCCTGCCACTGTAACCCGCACACACAATAAAAGACAGTATCACCGTTGCTGGAGATCACCCACCTGAAGTTCTCACATTTGGGGCAGGGCTGGAGGCAGCTGGTCTGGGAAACTCCAGAATAAACAACATAGCTGCCTTGAGACTTGGGGGCAAGGGTGGTGGCTGAAGTTAAAGCTGAAGACCTCACCGAAATGTGGGTGTCACTTGTCTTCCTCCGTTGGCTCCCCAGACCCACCTGGGCAGGAATCCCAGGATTATTTTAGTGAAAAACCTTTCAGCACCCTCTTTTCCAACTGCTCACCCCACTTCCCTTTTTATTCCCTTACTCATTCGAGATATTAGTTGTCCTGCTACTGTGTGCCAGGCACTGTCCCAGGCACAGGGACACAAAGGCTGAATCAGGCTACCTGCCCTCTTGAAACCTTTCTTTTCTTTTCTTTTTTTTTTTAAAAAGATGGCCGGTAAGGGGATCTTAACCCTTGACTAGGTGTTGTCAGCACCACGCTCACCCAGTGAGCTGACCGGCCATCCCTATGTGGGATCCGAACCCGGGGCCTTGGTGTTATCAGCACCTCACTCTCCCTAGTGAGCCACAGGCCGGCCCTTGAAACCTTTCTTGTATGGGATGGGGACTCTGAGGCCCAGAGAGGCTGAGTAAGTGGCCCAAGGTCACGCAGCCCCTGGGGCACAGCTGGCTGGAAAGGGGGGTGGGGTGTTGGCTGGTTCAGGGAAGCTGGGGGCTCTCTAGAGGTCCCCCCTACTCTGCACCCCCCAAGGCGCTACTGAAATTGGAGGACCGGGTGAGCCCTTGTGCAGCTCGGTGGGGGGACGGGGGGGCGGTCAGGAGGAGCGGAGGGGGAG